TTTCTTTGTTGAAGAGGGTCTGTGCAATCCTTCTGCCTAGTCCGCCATCTTGCCCCGCCTCTTCCTTGCATGTTTTATAGTTTAATCACAAATTATATTTTTAGACACTATACTTACTCTTGTTCATTTGTAAAAAAATAAATAAAAAACTTTTAATTTGTAGGTTTTTCTCTCCCGTCTTTTCCTACCAGTTTATCTGATGGAGAACCTGGGCCATTTGACGTATGTATCTTCCACAGTCTGAATTTTGCTGATTGTTTATTCACAAGCAGCTCAAGAAGTTCTTCTGCCATTGGTATTTCCTTCCAATCAGTAGCTGGATCTGACACTGCATTAGACTCAAATTCAGTTCCTTTGACAATTCTCTAGCTGGAATTTGGGGAGACTATGTTGTTGAGTGCCATAGAGTCAATTCCAACTCATAGTAACCCCATGTGACAGAGTAGAAGAAGCTTTCAGAAGATAACAGTTTATTAGCATTGGGTGCTTTTTAGAGTTTCTGGTTAAAACAGATCATTTCTTTATATATAAACTCCAGAATATTTTATTTAAAGAGGAGGACATTATATAGGGTTTATTTTAATGATTCTTATAAACAGCTTTCCGGGAAGCCATAAAAGTTTTGATGCAACAGTGGCCTAAGTTGCCCCACCTGGGTAGTGCAGTCTTTTAATATAACATCCTTTTATTCTTACTGCACTTTTTTTTTTTTTAAATAAAATTTAGGCAGTTGAAACTTATTTTTTTGGCCAACTTCAACTTTTGATTCTACAAAAGAAACTATGTCTCCAGCAGCCTCTAAAGCCCAAGAGTCCAGTGGATCATCAGACAGATTCAAGATGGAAAAACAGGTAAACTTGAAATATATTAAGCTAGTGTTTTTCAAAGTGTTTCACAAAGAATTCTAATCCTGCAAAATGTGAAAAAAATCTAACTTTAAAATAATATTTTTGGTAAAAGATTTTTGAAAATGCTAACTAGTAAACAGTTTCATTACTCTGAGATTTCATAATACAGTCAGTTTCCAAAAGGCAGATTTAGTATGGTGGTACAGATGGCTAAGTATTTGGCTGCTAACTAAAAGCTTGGAGGCTTGAACTCACCCAGTGGCTCTGCAGGAGAAGGACCTGGCAATCTTTGTAAAGATTACAGCCAAGAAAACCCTGTGGGGAAATTCTGTTCTGTTACATGGGGTCACCATGTATTGAAATTGACCTGATGGCACCTAACAATATTTCTTGGTTATTTAACACTAGTCTGATGAGCATTTAATTAGACTAGTGTTCTGTCACACACATCAGAAAATGTCATTCCCAACTATTTTCAATTGTTTAATTTTTTCTCTTAATATACAAGGGGTATCAGGGAACAACATGTATAATTTGATCATTCAAAATCTGGGACGTTATTATTTACACAGCATTTGATCTTATGAGGCATAGTGGACATCCACAGAGACATATACGAGCTTTTGGCTCCTTAAATAGATATCAGTGATAAATCCAGTGCTGTGTAGCATCATATAGTTAAGCTTTGTGATTAGAAGTTCTAAAGCATAAATAATGGAAAACATTGTGGGGAGGAAGGAGAAGTGTTGTCGTTGTTAGGTGCCATTGAGTCATCTCTGACTCATAATGACCCCACGTACAGCCAAACAAAACACTGCCTGGTCCTGTGCCAGCTCCACGATCCTTGCTATACCTGAGCCCACTGTTGCAGCCACTGTGTCAGTCCATCTTGTTGAGGGCCTTCCCCTTTTTCGTCGATCCTCCATTTTACCAAGCATGATATCCTTCTCCAGGGAATGGTTCTTTCTTTCAACATGACCAAAGTAGGTGAGACAAAGTCTGGCCATTCTTGCTTCCAAGGAACATCCCAGCTGTACTTCTTCCAGGACAGATTTGTTAGTTCTTTTAGCAGTCCATGGTACTTTCAGCATTCTTCACCAACACCACAACTCAAAAGCATCGATTCTTCTTAGATCTTCCTTATTCGTTGTCCAGCTTTCACATACGTATGAGATAATTGAAAATACCATGGCTTGTGTCAGGTGCACTTTAGTTTTCAAGGCGATATCTTTGCTCTTCAGCACCTGACAGAAGTCTTTTCCAGCAGATTTGCCCAATGCAATACGTCATCTGTGGTGGTTATGTTTGTGTGTCAACTTGGCTAGGCCTGGTCAAGTGACTGGGCAGCTGGTGGTAGTTATTCCCCATGATGAGACTGGCAGTCAACTCCATGGTGGGATCTACCACAAGCGGCTGAATAGCTGCCTTTGGGATGTGATCTGCTTCCTATATATAAGGAAAACCCTTCGGAATGGTCTCTAGCCTATGGCATGCTTGGACCCTGCAGGTAGCTGTGTTGTTGCTCAGCAGCTTACCATGCTCTGCTGACCTTGGGACATACAATGGACTTAAGTTAATGGCCTGCCATGTGATTTGGTAATATCGGGACTGTGCCTTTTTACTTGTCAACCTTGGGGCTTCTCAGCCTCAGCAACCAGCAGCTGTCTAAGTGAAGAAAAGCCTCTAGCTCCAGTGGCCTGGGAGAAGGAGGCAGAGCCAGACCCCAAGGTTGAGGGGCTTCCACCCAGCCCCTAGAGCCAGGCACTTTGAACTTGGACTTAAAGCCTCCAAATTGTAAGAATGAACTCCTGTTTGTAAGGCCATCCCATTTGTAGTATATTCCTGTCAGAGTGGCACTAGGTAACCAAAACATCATCTGATGTCTTTTTTTTTTAAATGAATTTTATTTAAATATAATTTATGTACAGGGAAATACACAAAACTAAAGTGACATGGGTAAATGCTTTTTTTTTTTTTTTGCATTGTTTCCTCCCCTCTCACCCCTGGCAACCAACAAAGAAAGTTTCCCTTCATACATAAACCTTTCCTTGACCCTCCACAACAATGAACTAATGCTATATTTGTCCTTCTACGAATGACTTATTTTACTCAGCACAGTGTCCTCCAAGTTCATCCATATTATGCAGTGTTTTGCAAATTCTACATTATTTTTTAGTGCTGCATAGCATTCCATCATGTGTATGTACCATAGTTTGGTCATCTACTCTTCTGCTGATGGGCACATAGGTTATTTCCATCTTTTTGCTATTGTAAACAGTGCTGTGATGAACATGAGTGTGCATATATCTGTTCCTGTCCTGGCTCTCACCTCTCTAGGACATATACCTAGTAATGGGATTGCTGGGTCAAATGGTATCTCCAATTTCAGCTTTCAAAGGAATATCCATATTGCTTTCTATAGTGGTTATATCACTTCACAGTCCCACCGACAGTGTATGAGTGTCCCAATCTCTCCACATCATTGCCAGCATTTGTTATTTTCTGTCTTGTTGAACCTTGCCATAAGTGCTGGGGTGAGACGGTATCTCATTGTTGTTTTGATTTGCATCTCTCTGATGGCTAATGATTGTGAGCATCTCTTCATGTATTAGTTGGCCACCTGAATACCCTCCTTGGTGAAGTGTCTATTCATGTCTTCTGCCCATTTTTCAACTGGATTGTTCATTCCTTTGGTGTTGAGGCATTGGCGTTTTCTATAAATCTTGGAGATAAGTCCCTTGCCAAATATGTAATGTAATCGGCAAATATGAATTTGTTGCTGTCATTTTTGTTATGTGCTTTCTCGTGGTATCGATTTCTTTGTTCCATATAATTTTCTATGCTGAGCTCGTTTTGTTTATGAATCGTGTTATCACTTCCTTTGTTTCTTTTGCTTTAGGATTTGCTAAATATTTGTGCTGGTCTTCTTTTTTATTTTGATGTGAACGTTTATCATTTTTCTTTGAAGTTGCCCTGTGATTTATAGTTTTCTTCCTAAATTTAGAACAGCTCATTCTATCTTGTAGTTGTCTTGACATCACCACCATCTAGAAGTTCTCTAATGACACAGTTTATTCCCTCATTTTGGTTTGTAGTTGTCCTCATTTGTCAATTGATGTCTCTGGTTCCCTGTGTACAATCTTGTAGGCTTATTTACTTTGGATACTTCCATAACTAGGTTGATTTCTGGTAACCTTTATATCATCATGTGTGTTAATGGTCAGTTGTTGTTGGCTGTTGTTGCTTCTCTATCCAAAGGACTCCCTTTAGCATCTCTTGTAAGGTTGGTCTGGTTTTAACAAATTCCCTTAGTTTCTGCTTATCTGGAAATGTCCTAATTTTACCATCATATTTGAAGGACAATTTTGCCCGGTGTATAATTCTTGGTTGAAAAATTTTCTCTTTCAGGGTTTTATGTATACCATCCCATTGCCTTCTTGCTTGCATGGTTTCTGCCGAGAAATCAGAGCTTATTCTTACTGGTTGTCCTCTGTAAGTAACTTTTTGTTTTTCCCGTGCTGCTTTCATGATTCTGTCTTTGTCTTTGGTTTTGATGAGTTTGATGATGCTATGTCTTGGTGATTTTCTTTTGGGGTCCATCCTGTTTGGGGTTTGTTGGATATATTCTCATCTTTCATCAAATTAGGGAAGTTCTCCTCCAACAAATCTTGGACAATTTTCTCAGTGATTTTATTATTCTCTTCCTGTTCTGGAATTGTAATGACACATAGGTTATTCCTTTTGATGGTATCCCACATGAACCTTAGGCTTTCTTCATTTTAAATTTTTTTTTTTTTTTTTCTGATTGATCCCTTTCCAAAGAAGTATTCAGGTATTTGT